AATATTTCTTCGGAGTATAGGTTGAACAGAGATGGTGATAAGACACATCCCTGTCTAACATCTCTTTTTATTTTTATTCTGTCTGTCACCTCATTGTGTACCCTTATCACGGCCTCTTGTTGGTAATACAAATTATTTATTATTCTTATGTCTCTAGAGTCAATGTTTTTACTTTTAAGCAGTCTTATGAGTGTTTTATGTTGGACGGTGTCAAATGCCTTATTGTAGTCCAGAAAACAAACGTACACATCCTGATTTACATCTAAGCACCGCTGCGTTAATACGTTGAAGGCAAACAGTGCTTCTCTAGTCCCTAGTCCATTCCTAAAACCGAACTGCGTATCCTCAATATCTATTTCTAACTTTTTATATATTCTGCGATGGATGATTTTGAGAAGTACCTTAAGTATGTGACACATTAAGCTGATGGTACGATGGTCCGAGCACTGTCTTGCGTTGGTCTTTTTGGGGATAGTTATAAATGTTGATTGTAGCCACTCTTTCGGTAAAATTCCAGTTTTGTATACACTGTTGAAGAGATGTGTTAGAAGATGTATGTTATGATTGTCAATGAGTTTAAGAACTTCTGCTGGTATTTCATCCAGTCCCGTAGCTTTCCCGGTTTTCATTTCCTTGATGATGTGTTCTACTTCGTCCTTCGTTATTTCTGGTCCAATATCATCACATACATACTCACTACTTTCTTCATCTCGCTGATCTTCGTACAGTTGTTCTACATAGTTTTTCCATACTTTCAATTTTTCTTTTGTGTCCATAATAATATCTCCATTTTCATCCACCAGCAAGTTGTTATTGTAATTGCGTTTGTTGGTTAACTCTTTAATTCTCTTGTGCGCATTGAAACCATCATGTTTACTTTGTAATTTCTCGATTTCCTCACACTTTTCCCTGTGCCAGTTTTCTTTGGCTTCCCTAATTTTACTTCTGATCTTGCTTTGTAGATATCGGTATTTTTGTTGATCTTTGATTCTGTATGTTCTTCTCTCGTCCATGAGACCTAATATTTCAGTTGTCATCCATTCCTTTCTTACCTCTGTTTTCTTACTAAGTTGTTCCTTGCATGTTTTTAGTATTTCTGTTTTAAACTGGAGCCAGTTGTTGTTTATATGTTCTTCATTGTTATTTTCTATGCATTGCAAGGTTTGCAATGCCCCATTTATCTTATTTTTCACTCTTTCCCTTGTTTCTGGATTACGCAATTGATTAGTGTCAATTGTATCTTTCTTTGTTCTATGGTCAATTCTTTTTAATTTTATCCTTACTTTTGCAATTAGTGGGTTATGGTTAGAGGGTATATCTGCACCCGGATATGTTTTAACTGACATTATACCATTCCTGTATCTTTCATTGATCATTAAATAATCTATCTGGTTTCTAACTATTTTCTCTTTGCTATCTTGTGGTGATATCCATGTATATAAACGTCTATTAGGTAATTGAAAGCATGTGTTTGTGATAACCATATCTATCATTGTAAATATGTTATAATAATTTCTGATACCAAATGCGTGTTATAAAGCGATCGTATTACGAATCGTCGGGTTTTGTTTTCGGCCGAATTATCGCGTTTAAAATTTCGCGTGTGTGCGATGGTCAGTGTACACTCTATTGCTGTCATGATCTTTTTTAAGTGGACAACAAAATCCGAGCTGAGTGTCTTATTCCAGAATGCACATCGGGTAGGCTTATAATTTTAATTCGAGGGTTTGTTTCGCCGCTTCTTAATTTCGATTTAATCCTGTAAAATCCACACGAGGCTTCAAAAAATTACATGAAACATTGAGTTTCGCACAAATATATTAATAAGAGATATAAACAAAGAACATATATAAACCTGCACTTATCCTTGATTTACCCTTAAAATACTACAAAATCACTTAAACTTTAGACCCCTTGAATTAAATTTTTTTTATGGCCTGTCTATGCGTATACTAAACTAAGTTAAGACGTTACGTTACGTGAACATTAAAGAATATTTTAATATAAGAATTACGAAAATTAAATATTCATGATGACGTATACGAGAACATCCCATAGGATGTTAAATCGATTCCCAGTATTTGAATTTTAAATAATCCTTTGTTGACATTTTTGGCGAAAATTATTTGTCCAAAATATTTTGAGTTCTTTTCAAATTTTAAAACCGGAAGCTAAATTACAGCATTGGTCCAGAAAAATTACCACCAAAGCTTTTTAACCATATGATACTTATAAAACGTAAACAGATTTTATAAATTTGCTGTAAATAATCGAATATGCAATAACATTTTTTTTTAAATTTCTCTCTTTTTCTCATAATTCATGAAAACGTAATCTTTTTAGAAAATGAAAATATCATGTTTTAAACCACAAAATGTATTGTTAAATAAATTAAACAAACATGATTTTTAAATATTTGTAAAGCATTCACAAATACAAATTTAACGTTACCATCAGCGTGTAATTTTAGTCACACTAGTGATGGCAAAAAACGACACTTTCCATTAATTTTAAATTTTCTTGAGCCTCAGCCAAAGCAATACAATAGTTTTAGATGGATTCACATCTCGATTGTAAAAAATCAATCTGATGTTATCGTCCTACTAGACCGAACCATATCATTCTCTCCATTTTAGCGTGCCAGCGTTTAAATTCCATTAAAATTCTCTTACAAATGATATAGGCCAGCGGGACGTCCATTCGCATTTAGAAACCCTTTAAGTCAAACGAACGTAAAACAAATAATAATTATGCCTCATTTTACGAGCAGACGAATAAGGCAAAGGAAAAAGAAGGAAAAAAAAACGAAAAGCGACTGCTTTATCTTTCGTGGAATAAAAGGGGACGTGCGCCACTAAAAGTCCTCGAAAATGGCACACGTTAGATGGTGTATTTCAGACAAAATACTGTCATTACGCATTCAAGGCTGCATTGTCGCGTGAAAAAGCTCGAGTGAACATCTCTCGTGTCTGGCTCGTTAGGGGCCGCGCGAAACATGCCAACAATGCCTTTTCTTACGCTTCCAGTCACTCATGGCTAATTGGAAGCATCGCGGAATAGGAGATCCCTTCCCTTCCGCTCAGATAGGCCAGCTGTAATGCTCAAATATTATAACAAGTTTACACTAACCAAATATATTCTCCCTCTCTCTCCTCCTTCGATAGTCACCACATAGAGTACCTAATTAAAAATGGAATTCACAATAAGAATGTCTGAAGTTTCCATTTTGGCTGCAAAAACAAAATATGCTTGCCTTTGATGTCGTGGTGTCTTTTCCATTATAAGGAGCTAATGTTGGGTTTTTTCTAGCGTTAGGACTTAGTTAAAGAACTTAAATTAAGGAAGGGGTACTAAATAATAGAGTGGGGATACAAATCTCTGTTGACAACAAAACGATAATAAAACTTATCCACATCTGACCGTAGATCACAACCTAGCCAATCTGAGGTTTACCACTTGTCCAAAAAACTCTCAACATCTTGGATCATTTAAAGACAAAATTTCTTTTGAGGTACCAGGAGTTTACAGCATTTCATGCGCATGCGGCAAAGAATACATTGGAGAGATTGATTGGCGAAACGTCAGCAACTTTAGCTCCTCAAGAACCGACGCAGGAGGAATCCAGAAGATGTGAAAATCAGATCTTTGACAGCTTGTTCTTGTGTCCTCGTTTTGTCTCCATATACAAAAATAAACAAATTAAATGGATGCGTCATAATCATTTTCTTTACTGAAAAAAATTTAATTGTAATAATTTAAGGACATTCCTGCTACTGGCTACTAATAAATAGATCCTTTATTGACCACTTTCTGCTTAAAAAATAATACAATTGTGGCAAGTCATATTAGATAAAAATATATAAAATGTAAAATGTAAAAGAGTAACAGTGACACACACAACAGTCAAAAAACAACAAAAATCAAAACTATTGCACATGTGCATACAAAAGACCACATAATAAATCAAAAGTTACATACTGCTCTATCACGGTGGTGTCCATACACTCCGGCACGGAGAAGGGACATTTTTACTAATTTTTTTAATTTGATATTATTACTCAATGCCTTAACATTTTATAGCAGTCTATTATACAAACACAGGTTAAACGAACATTATTTTAGCATTTAGTAAACTTAAATTTCTCGTTGTGAAGGAAGTTAGTTGTTTGGGTAGCATTATCAAGATAAAAGTTCAGCTTGTACGTATCCTTGCCTCTGCGTACTTTCGGCAGTTGATAAGAGAATTCCAATCTTTGAAAGGTAAGTTTACAATGCTCCGCACAGGATATTACTCTTAATACCTTCTTTGGAAGTTTAAAACCTTAATCAGCTTCAGAAAAGTTATCCAAGTTATCCCACAGGATAACACTATAGGTTAGGTATGAATGAAAGAGAAAGTAATATGCCATTATTAATGTTTCCTTGGCGACTAATTTCTTTAATTAACGGACTACAAAAATACTAGACGACGGTGTTTTACACAAACATTTGTTGTTCAGTTTGTGCCAGAAATATCGTGCCATTCGCCTATCGTAAGTTGGACACTTTCTTCCCGCTAATAGAGACTCCTCCATCCCAGATTTCTAGAGCCCTTCTTCATTTCATATTTCAGGGGTTCTCTGTTACTGTAGTGAGAGAATAAGTGTTGGTAGTGAATATTGATCGTAATAAACATTTTGTTAATTTTTCCTGTTGTTCCATGAAATTAAACATCCCCCCGTCACACGGTAATCATTCGTTTACCGACAATATATAGCCTTGTTGCGTTTTTGTCCGGACATTGACCTAACCCCTCGCAATTTGTTAGCCCTCTAATTAACACCGTCATTTACTCAACGAGGGTATTTTGATAACGAGGCGTCCTTCGGCGACAAAAAACCGTCAAAAGCGCCCCAAAGAACGTAACGGAACCGCGCAGAGTCATCAACCACCTCGCGGCTGTTTTTCAGTTCCTGTTGCTCTAGGGCGCCTGACTCGGACAAACAGTCGCCACCCCTGGGGGTAGTTGCGTCCGTTCGTTCATCCGTCACCCGCGACGCAAACGGTTTGTTTCGCGGACGACCCCCGAGTCTTTATCCCGTCGACGTCGCCTTCGTCGTCGGGTGTACGGGCGAAATCGGTTCAGTGTTTCGCGGCTAGTGCGTGAGAAACGGCGGTGCCATGTGCGCCGAGGCGTCGTTGTAACGACGCCATCGCCATGGCGACACGTCGACGCCGATCCGTGGACGTCGTTGCCGTGCTCCTGCTGGTGTGCCTCCCGATTCGACTCGTTTACCGGCCATGCCGTGCCCTCGAACTAGGTAAAGTCCGTCTCGAAATGAATAAAACAAATTTTCAATATATATTTAATTATATTAAATTTTCATGAGATTTGGTCGTGATTTTTCCAAAAAATTTACAGATCCCAGTCAAAATCGGCTTTTTCGAGTCTTATTGTACCGAAATCTACCTTAGAAAAGCAGTTATTTACTAGGTAAAATCCGTTTCGAAATGAATAAAACAAATTTTCAATATATACTTAAACACTGTAACGTGCGAAACGTTATCGACTTCTATCCAAACTTTTCATGGGGTTTGGTCGTGATTTTTCTCAAAAATTTACAGATTCCAGTCAAAATCGGCTTTTTCGAGTCTGTAACGTGCGAGACGTTTCGCGAAACAGATAAGAAAACAATTTAAAAAATAAATAAATATGGAACTCTTATAAATTAGTATCAGTGAACATTAGGCTATCTTTCACACAAAAGGGGCTATGCATTAAATAAGTTTACTTTAATGTCAATATTGAAATTATTTCAATAAATATTGACTTTCATTTCAATATTGACAGTAATTGGTGTACTATAGTGCCAATGCCAATACTTAACAGTATTGGCATTAAAAAAATGCTGAAAATAACAATTTGCCAGATGAATTCTTACTTTTGAAGCAGAATTGTGGTCCGATCGGAGAAAGCTGGCATTAATGTTAAAGATTAAAAAAAAAAAAAACAAGTCCCCATTTTATAGTACTAATACTTTTGTAGTACACGGATATTTTTACTTACCATTGGAACATTTAAATTGGAATATTGGCCCCCGAGAGACGTCCCTTTCAAGGTCGGAAACCATTGTGTCTATGCCATTTCTGGCAAACTTCGGCTGATAGAAGTCTGATGCATGCTGGTTAAAACTTTTGTCCAAATATGTACAATTTATATTATGTCCATTAGTCATTTAGATTTTGTGTTGCTCTTGATGCATATCTTAGGTGAGGTCTAATTTGACATGGACACTCTAAAAAGATCTTTAAAGCTTTTTTTTGGTAATTTCAAGGGATTACTCTGAGCTTCTTCGTTCTTTGTTCTAAGTTTAAACCGCATATGGCAGAATCATTATTATATAATATATTACAAAAACAAGTACCCATTGTATAGTTACCGTTATAGTATACGTACATTTTAACTTACTATTTGAACATTTAAACTAAAATATTCAGAGTTTTCAGTGTTTGGAAACATTGCGTCTTTGTCACTTCTGACAAACTTCGGCTGATACGTTTTGTACCATATCTGTTTGGTACGACTCTTGACACTAAATATGTAGTAAAACATATACATATTATTATGTCTATTAGCCATTTAGATTTTGGTTATTCGTATTTCTTCACCTTTGTAGTTTTAGCATATTTTATGTGAGTTCCAATTCGACAAAGCCCAGTTCTATGGACACCTTAAAAAAGTTATTTTCTGGTGATGTCAAGGGATTACTCTGAGCCTCTTCGTTCTAAGTTTAAATCGCTTTTATAAAATAATAGTTTGTTTTTCTATTATAACGTTAGATGACGGTAAAATAGTAAATGCAAAAGAAAATATTGTGATAACAATTTGCCAGATGAATTCTTCCTCTTGAAGTCTGGAATACTGCAGAATCATAGTCCGATTCTGGAAACTTGGCATTAATATTAAATATTACAAAAACAAGTAGCCACCTTTAAAGTATACGTACATTTTAACTTACTATTTGAACATTTAAAATAGAATATTGCCCCTGAGAGACAGCCACAAGCATATCAGCGTTTTCAGTGTTTGGAATACTTGCGTCTATGTCACATTTGACAAACTTCGGCTGATAGAAGTTTGATGGATGCCTGTTGGAAGTTTTGTCCAGTACCCTTAACACAAAATATATAGTAACGCAAAAAAACTAAAACATACATTTTATTATGTCTATTAGCCATTTAGATTTTGTTCTGCGCATTTATTCACCTTTAGAGTTTTAGCAATTTTTATGCGAGATCCATATTTGACAAACCCCAATTCTATGGACACCTTAAAAATATCTTTAAAGTTATTTTCTGGGAATGTCAAGGGATTACTCTGAGCGTCTTCGTTCTAAGAAGTTTAAATCGCTTTTATAAAATAATAGTTTGTTTTTCCATTATAACGTTAGATGACGGTAAAATAGTAAATACAAAAAAAATATTGTGATAACAATTTGCCAGATGAATTCTTCCTCTTGAAGTCTAGAATACTGCAGAATCATAGTCCGATCCTGGAAACCTGCCACTAATGTTAAATATTACAAAAACAAGTAGCGACTGTATAGTATACGTACATTTTAACTTACAATTGGAACATTTAAACTAGAATATTGTCTCCCGAGAGGCAGCCCCAGGCATTTTAGAGTTTTCAGTGTTTGAAACAATTGCGTCTATGTCACATATTGTCACAAGTTCGGCTGATAGAAGTCTGATGGATGCCCGCTTAAGGTTTTGCCCAATACCTGTTTGGTTGACACAAAATATATAGTAATGCAAAAAACTAAAATATATAAAAAAAATTACATCTACAAGGCATTTTGTTCTTCGTATTTATTCGCCTTTAGACTTGTAGCAATAGGTGTTGCTGTTTCTGTATTTTTTATATTCTTGAAGTTAATTTCGGGTCATGTATATGATAATCGTTTGTTTCTTCTACTATAACCTTAGATGGCCGCAAAACAGTAAATGCAAAAAAATATTCTGACAACAATTTGCCAGACAAATTCTTGTTCTTGAAATCTGCGACACTATTAGTAAGATTACAAAAAAAGTCGCCATTTTATAGTTCGTTGTTTAGTAATTAGCTTTTAAGCGAGAATATTGGATACTACAAAAGAGCAATTTAGCGTTTTTAGTTTCTGGAACAATTGTTGTTATATGAGTGCAATCAATATAGCCTATTATGCCAGGAAAACCACCCGTTTCCATCGATCTATACATACAATTACTTGCATTACTTGCATTAGTTACAATTACTTCTCACGGTTCTTTACCTCATCTGTTTTAGAAAACTTTGTTAGATGACAAAGAACTTCAACTATAATGTCCGTCACTTCTAATAAACGTCAGCCGATAGAAATCTGATGAATGTTGGGTTAACGTTTTTCCCAACACCTCCTTGGCAGGGGTCTTATCAAAGGGATGTTGAGCAAAACATCAAAAATGTACTAATGCAAAAAATTTAAATATTTAAAAATTATTATGTCTATTAGCCATTTAGAGTTTTAGCAATCGCTATTGCGATTTCTGCATTTTTTTATGTGTGTGACACCTTAAAAAATCTTGAAAGTTGGTTTCTGTCGTGTTATAATGGTTTCTTTTCACACTGATCCGAGCTACTTCGGACATTTCCGGGATATTATCGCACGGCTTTAGAAACAATCGGATGTTTTCGGAGATTTTACAGCACGGCTTGAATTGCCGTATCGCAAAAATGTAGCCAAAAACTAAGGGTCATCGAAAAAATATGTTTGGTAAACTTTTTAAGCCACAAGTTTATTAAACACTCTCTCGTATAATTAACCAGTTTTTCCACTCCTGTCTGTAAAATACCACTTTACCATGTTAGTTTCGTTTCCCACGGATCCGAGCCACTTCCGACATTTCTGAGATTTTACAGTACTGGTTTGGGAGCAATCGGATGTTTTCGGAGATATTTACCACGCTTTGAATTTTGACGTTTGTCAATTCTGACGGTCATGTTAGTGGATGTATTCATGTTGTTTTGCGAAGAAGTATCAATAAACTAACGGTCATAGAAAAAGTATACTATTCAACACGTTCGGCAAACTCGTTTATTAAACACTCGCTCCGCTCGTGTCAAATAAACTCGTGAGTCAAATGCCGTTTACCGCACTCGTTGCCTAATATACTATTACCGCATTTGTTGCATTATATGCTATTATTTAATTTACGTTTGAATTTCATTTTGGTGCAATGCATGAGAGAATAAAGATTTGTCGTAAAAAAATTATATTTGGGGTATATTTCTTATTTGAAAATAATTTAAAGTTTCTTAGGGTGTACTTCTCGTTTAAGTTTATTAGTTAGTTGGTCATATTTCGTAATTCCGTAAGCATATCTAAGAGAGGCTGAACTCTTTGGATTCTGTTCAGCGTAATTAAAATTACTTATAACGAGACCTTCTGTTAATTATAACTTTATATTTGTGCTGCGTTCTCCGTGGGCTGTGGGCTGGCAATCTAGTAAAGATGATGTGTACATTCTACACTATTGGTGAACCCTGAGAGACGCCGCCTAGAACGAGATCCTTTATAGATACACCTTTTTCAGTTTCAACGGACTTATATCGATTAGGTAAGGGCTATTGCTTTTTCTGAAAAATCCATTTAGTGTGTCGCCGACACTAGAATCTCTCTATCTTGTCGAAAGCTTTGGACAAATCTTAGAAAGGAAAGACTAACTTTAAAATGCAGATTTTCAGGAATGCGATTTTTACGCCTGTTATATATGCCGAATTTTTGGATTCTTCCAATTTCTGACATGGCAGGCTTCAGTTTTCTGGGCATGAGTTTACTGTTGTGTTCATAAAGCCTACTTTGTCGTCAATAACATTTATGTATATTATAATTTAAAGCGCATAAATTTTTTAAAAAGCAAAAGTCAGTGTTTTTCAGGCCCCGAAAATTTCACCCTAAGTTTCCTTATTACTTCCTACAAGGAATTGTAGGTTTGGGGCGCTATTTATTGCTTTCATCAATAACATTTGAACTTTTATGACGTTTGGTACAGTTTGCAGCTTTATCTCTTCTAGAAGGTCTTTATCGACACTAGCAGAGGCTTCGAAGTAAATTCTGCCGCCCACAAACTACTGCTATGGACTATATTTTTAGGACTTAGAGTAATTACAGAGCATTATTTATGGAAAACTCGCATCAGGTGCTCAACAACTTTTTTACATCATTCTAATATGTTTTCCACTAAACAACTTAAATGTCATATGTTTCTTACTATTTTACATTGTCTTATGAACCTACCT